AGTGTGGTCGCATTCGACATTAGGGCAGTCAACGTGGCACCAAGTGCTAGCGATGTACTCAGATATATATTGGCTGCTTTGAGGCCACATGCGATATCTTAGAAGTGTGGCACTTTGGGTTAGTTGGTATGACATGACCATAGTTATAGCGCAACAACAGAACGTCTCTTTGTCGTCATTTTGTTCTCGCGCTATAACTATCGCAGTCGTATGCCTCATAATTTGCACAAATAAGATTCATGACCCATTAAAATATTATTTATATTTATATAAGAATAAATTTATTAACTTACAGTGCTATTATTAAAATAATAATATTAAAATACCACACAGATATAGCATCTGTGTGGTAATTTAACCTAAGTGAGAAACGAATGGATTGTCTCAAGGGCTCATAAATCTCCCACAATTACATGATGACTTAATGCTTCCACGTAAGCAGTTACAGCTCGGTTGCTAAACCTCACTATCCCCTCCCTCCTTATGCCTCACCACGCTCCTTCACCCAACGAAAGACGGTCTATGCGTTTCCGCTCGGTTTTTGGAGAAATAGATATGGGGCCTCACACGCGAGCTGAACTTGCCGCATGCGCTCTACATAAAAATTAGTGGCTTGTTTCACCTCTGCTTCAGGCACGTTTTTCCCTAGCTCTTTCACGCTCTCCCTCGTTCTTACAACGTTCGATGCGCTGCGCTAGCCTGTCGATTTGGACTTTTTACTGATTATGACACTGATTGTGATGGCACAAACGTTGAAACTATTATTTCTAACATTCCATCATTTCGGACTGCGGTCCCCATACAACTGCTGATGCAATAAGTTTTGCTTTAGTAATTCATGAGTTAAGATTGACTAAAAACCAATCCTTTTTTTCTGAAACGCCTGCTGCAATTCGACGCTTTGTACACCTTGTTGCGAAATGAAGTCACTCAAATACAAGAGCGCAGCCTGCCTCCAAACAAGACAAGAGACTGGGACAGCCTATTAACTGTTGAACATTTTTGGCATTTCTTTTGGATATGCTTGCAATTTTCATCTTCGAAATCTAACCCAGCATTCGCAATCACAATACAAAAATGTACAATCGCTGCCTCTGGCAGCCTAAAATACTCTCATATCTTCAATAGGAATATTTTCAGTCAGGTACCATTGCACAGATTGAGAACTCAATATTCTGAGTTCGTTCATGCTTAACACTTTTGTATTATTTTACTATTTTAATGAAGCGCCACCGTAATGGTCTAGTACTCAACGACAAGTACTGAACTCCTGACCCGCAGGTCGCGGGATCAAATGCCAGCAGCGGCTGCTGCATTTTCGATGGAAGTGAATATGCTGCAGGCCCGTGTCCTCAGATTTGTGTGCCCAGTAAAGAACCCCAGGTGATCGAGATTTCCGGAGCAATCCACTACGGCATCTCTCATAGTCATATGGTGGTTTTGGGACGTTAAACCTCACATATTTTCAGCCAATTATTATTTTATAGAAACAAATCCATCTAAAAATAATAGCTTTCTGTGTGATTGGGGTAATGAAAGTGACACATGCCTATAGACACACTTAATCAATGAACATTTATTGGCACAATACTCTTCAAAATATTTAACTTTAATGTTTTCGATAAATGCACTTTACATACAAAATAATTGTCTGAAGGAAAAATAAATACACTGAGCATTACATTCGTTCGCAAAACAAAAGAAGTAAAGCGAGGTTTCTCTGCCCTTTTGTGATTGTGACAAAGTAACCCAGGGCACACTTTTTTGTAGTTTCGTTTGTAAATAGCAGTAGCAAATATTGTTGAGACTGTGAAATAATTCTGAACGTAATGAACATAGCTTCAAAAATTGAAAACTACTTTTCACTGATGGGAAATGTCGGCAGCAAAATTAGATATTTAAATAGGGCTGTTAACTTTGTTCACTATAGAGAACTCAAGACGTTCGATGTAAATAGATGTTTTTGCGTTCCTAGAACTTAAAGTCTCATACACTTAAGAAAGTTGGAAGTGGTCGGCTTTGAAGATATGTGTAAATGACAGTCTCATCGATGATATACAGCAGACCTTGTTATTTATATTCAGAGTTGATCACATGAAACGTTCTGTCGATCGCTCATTGATTTGGCTTTAAAATTTCATAGGAGAACTTCGTGTTATTTAACAATCTATGTTTTTTACTGAGTCCATTGGGCACGAGCTTGTTCATAATTCTAGGCAATGCAGTCATATAAACCACATGACTTTAAATTATTCAATTGCAGATAATAGCTCTTGGTTTAGGAAGGCATGACAGTGGTAGTGTCCTGTCAAGAAACACACAATCATATAATATTTCCATAGATGACAAGCGTGGTCAAAAAAACACAATAATTCAAGGTTTACAATATTTTGTAAGCACTTTCCACTCAAGTGAGCATCAAATAATTGTGCGAAGGAAAGCAGCAACAATATCATTGCAACATTGTCATGGAAGAGGACAACGTCACAAACTGACACCAAGATTAAACGTGAAGCTTCAATAGTAATCCAGGAACACGAAGTTCGATACAAAGAAGAATAAAAGACTGGTATTGTAAAACGTTCAGTGCTTCCGATAATGCGTCAAGATTCCAGCAGACCTATTGGACACAAGCAGCCCGGCGTTACAGGTTATCGACACTTCATGGGGACACAATAAGGACCGACAGATGCAGTTTTACGTTTAACAATTTAATCATTGAGCAATATAAACATGGTTAAAAAGTCCCCATACAAGCCACCAACAACATATGAATGATTCAGTATGGATTTCAACGTGCTTCACGTGCTAGGAACTTCAGTCAGGGTTGCCAACGTCGGCGTAACAAGTACGAGCTACACTGCGATGGATAATCAAAGCACTTGTTTCGAGACAACGCCGAACGTCTGGTAAAAAGATCAGGCATATAGTGCGAAAAACACAATATACGTAAAACACTCAACATCATTTTATCATTCTGATATTGATGTTACGCTTGGTTTAGACCCATTTCAAGGTATCTTTGACAACACAATAAAAACATAAAACAATGCGGACGTTGTCAACGAAAAATTTCAAAAAAAATGTTTAAAGTCCTACACTCATAAGAAAACACACTCGCATTTGCAAAGGCAGGGCAATGGCTACATTAGGGAAAGACATAATGTTCATTATTCTTTTAAGCAATCGAATCTATGCAAAACGGCAATATTGTGATTACACACGAAATCAACGACTATTAAGAAGGCGTCAAACAAAAGTTCAATTTAATTCACCTGTAACTTGAGATTACTATGTTTTAAAGTCGGTTCGGTTAGAAAACGACTTTAAAGCCTAATGTCGTGCTGTGGAATACAGAACAAAAAATCGTTTTTCTTCCGATAAGATCCTCCTATTTATCTGATAGGCTACAAGAAGTGACGCCGTCAGATCTGGAAAGCTAAGAAAACCATTCATTATAAATGGCTGCGGAGCAATGTATGAATCGGTGATAGAACTTTTACGGTAAGGTCACTCTGTGACGTTGTATAGAGCCAGCTTAAAGTGTCTTGCCAAAACTGAAACATAGTTGACAGAGTGCAAACGCTCCAAGTTCCTAACACGCAAAACGGAGAGATTCTATTTAAAATTCTCTGTCGATTTCTATAATTAAAAATTGTTTCTGCTCACAACTACAATGTTTCAGTTGAAGACTGGTGCTGAAGAGTAAATCGTGAATATTGTACAATATTACGTTGTACTCCTGCCCAAATCTAAACGCTTTTTTTGAGTGAAGACGAAGGAAAATGTGAGTAAATGCGTTAACTTTTGTCAAGAACATGACATTTTTGTGTGGTCCTGTCAAATTTGGATGCTCAATCGCTCAGCTAACATCTTCTACGCCTTTGATCAATGCTACCTAATTAAAGCTGTTCGGCAAAAAACAACCACAATGCTAATGAGGACATGTGTACCTTATTATCCACTCATATACTGAATTGGTGCGTAGGTTCAACCTTGACACGAATAAAAAACTGTTGTCGTAGTTCCACTGAGTTGAGCTGAGCTCATTGCGACTCGTACACGGACCTTAGGCAGTTATGGCATTGTTTTACACTGGAAAATTACTGTAAATCTCATCGTAGCTTACCACCCGTCTTCAGATACTGACATAGTTCTCCCTACTCACCAACCCAAAACTTTAAAACATCTCGTTTATAAGTTCCTTCAGTGCTGCTGATAGACACAAAATTGCCGACAATGTGGAAACGTCCGGGATCTAAAGTACATGAAGTAGTCTTCTAGAATAGAGGTATCATACTCAATGCATTGCCATTGCATATAACAATCGGACAATCATAAATTAAAATACATGGTAACAATCAAACCACGACGTACTACGATGTTTTCATGAATGCTCGTGGAAGAAACATTAGGCCTAAACGTTTATTCAGCATATCCCAGAGTGTCCTAGGTATTCCTAATGCGCTAATTATTCCCGTGACATGCATTTTGTTCAACCCCAAGCAGATACTGGTAAGTTATCTGCAGAACTGAGGCAAACATATGAAACAAAATAAGAGAAGGTTGAACGAAGTAACAGTCACCACTGTGATTTGTAAGTGGGGTCCCATTCCATGTCCATCGTATGGGGCATTTGTGAATTTGAATTGAGGTTAGGTTTTAGGAATCATAATGATACGGATGTAAAAAATTATTGAAACACAGACGCCCAATTGAAATGAAGAGTTGATCTCCGCGGTTATGTTTTAACACATTGTGATCGCGTGAGATACTTTTGAGCCAGCGCGAATAAACAATCACATAAGCGAGGGACGCATACAGGACGGCCGTTGTCTATTCCCTGTATGTTGAGCACGATGGTGCTTTGGGCTGTTTGGTTCAACTGCCATAAAGTAGTTCAACTTTTTGTGTTCAATGCAGGCAAACCCCCAAAAAAGACTTGCAAGTCAAAACAGTTGGTAGTGCATGAACGTACTTAAGGCAAACTATTATGGACCGAGGACAGTCATATGTGTGCGGGTGGTGGGTTTCACGATTGATTTATACCAGCGCTTGTCCATGGTACTACTAGGTTTGTAGTCCATGGTATTCAAACATTGAAATTTCCCGCACCCGCGAATTTCAACAGTTTACCACACATGAGAATGAGTACAACAACGTCTATAGGCTTATAAAGAGCCTGTTGTCGTTCCAGTCTATGTTCTATGCAAGGCTGCGCTCTCATTTCTCAACTGAGTCGGTCGTCTTCAGAGCACCGAGTTGGATACCGCCGTCGAATGCGTCACGCATGACCTGTTGCCCGAGGCGCGGGCGCTGCGTGCGGATCATAAAGACGGCGGTTCCTGGGGCGACAACGTCAGGAGGGCCTCGTGTCGAATGTGGCGGCACATGTTGCTCGAAAAGAAGCAGTAGATCAGCGGGTTGGCGACGCTGTTCAGTGGTGCCAGGCTCTGAATGAACGTTGCGACGGCGATGGCCGCCTGAGTCTTCGGAGTCGCGCCGTACACTTGGAGCAAGTCATAGATGAAGTACGGGCTCCAGCAGAAGACGAACGCTGCGTGCGGAACGAAGAAAGAACCTCAGGAAGACACTCAACAAAATATGACAAGAAAGTCGAACTGTGAAGGGTTGTATCCTAATGAATACTCGACGCGCGTGCATTTTTACTTCAATGAAGTACCAAGGCGTTTATAAACTCACAGGAAACTCCATGCCTTCGCATGAGTGCCTGGCCACGCATACGCACTTAAACGTTTCAGCGCGTTGGACGTTGTGCTATGCCCTCTCCACGTAGAGAGAAAGGGTGCTTGGTTATGCGAAGCTGCGCCTCTCTCTCTCTCTCTCTGTAAAGAAAGGGCGCCGCGACGCGCCAGAAAGCCACGAGCTCACACGCTGCAACACGTACTTGTGGTCAGGTCTTAACAGGACTACTAATCAAAAGACCTCTTCTTTTGCTACATTCTGCGTACTGACTCAGCTAAACCCCCTATGAAAGATTTCAGCAGCTAACTTGGTTCCGCGCTGTAATACGATCGGAGGCATTGCGTCTGCAATTTACCTCGTTGGGCAATGCATTGTTATCATCCTATCTTTGATCAAGTGACGATGTCATCTGAAGACGTCATGAGGCGGCGTCCAAACGTCACGATTCTAGAACATTTGTGCGATTTGTGATGGTACGATGACATCACACGGCGACGCCATCATGCGTTGATAATTATTAAGATCACTCTTGTTGGCACCGCTGACGACAACAGTCGACATTTTAACCCAGTGATGCCCTTTAGGTTTTCAATCGAACAATCGACTTGAGAATTAAGAAGTTTGAGACTATTTTGAACTAGTATTGTAATGTTTTCACGCCCTCTCTAAGAAATAAAAACTTTTTTTAATCGACTCTTGTGCTACGGTTACGTTACTTAGAACCAGTATGTTAATGTCAACTGCTACGCATCAATATTGCCCGTCACAGGCTGTGTTTAAACATTTGAAGATTGTGCTGAATGATGTAAAACCAACGTTTGTTTATTTGCGTCTCTAAGATTTATCTTGTAAAAACGTGTTTTAATGTAAACATCGCCGACTGTTTCCTTATGGAGTTCTACGGAAGGCTTATTATGTTGAAAGGGAAAACGTGAACAGGAGCAGCACGTTTGATAAGCCCATTGGCTTGTATATGCTATTGTGTCGTTCTTCGCGATGTTGCAAAACGGGAGCTTGCAAAATCTGCGTTTTTATTTGCGGCGCCCGCATTAAAACGGAGTAGTCTTCATTTTCAGTCAGCAATGTGCCTGTGAGGATTTCTTCATTTTCTTTCTTGGTAACATTTTTCTGTCAATTTGCATGACCTAAACAAATTGTAAACTGAAAATGACACATGTAGCATTTTTGCCTTATAGAGACTCACCCCACGAGTTAGCGTGCATGTCCTTGCTGTTTCTTGAGGTGGAGTGTTTTGCCGGGAGAAATTTTCTAATGTAAACTGCACTGAGAGCGTGCGAGGTGTAGCCGTGCTCACAGTATTGTTTTTTTTTTATTATTCAGTTTAGAGAAACCCCGGTCTGTAACTTTCGCCACAAAACCTCGTTTTTCTTACTTAGTGAGTTGTCTGCTCTCGGGTATACTTGCCGATTCAGCCTGTAGTGTGCGACGATTCCATGGTATGTGCGCATATACTCGCTTCTTTGTTCGGTAACTTGGGAGATTCCAGGGGTCGACCGGTAGGTGAGACCTCGGGCGACGAAATTAGCCTCCTCGTTTCCTCTAAGTCCTTGGTGAGCTGCAGCCCAGACAAGCAGAACCTGCTCTTTGGGTACTCCTACCATGTTTAATATACGGACGGCAGTCTCTGTCACCCTTCCCGATTCATAATTTCTCACAGTGTTTTTGGAGTCGCTGATGACCACCCTGATCCCCTTTTGGCTGATGGCCAAAGCTATGGCCACTTCCTCGGCCTCTACAGTCTCGACACCAGGGACTGTGCAGCACGTAATCAGGCCACCATCTTCCCTGACCGCCACTGCCATGTGTGCCGCTTTGCTTTCATATTCCGCAGCGTCTGTATACCCCGCACTTTACAGCAAGTGGCACTCCGCAGTTTTCAAGTCCCAGTGTAAATTTTGTGATGAGTTAGCGAATTTGGTCCACATGGTGTGGACATGTCCAAGCCAGAACGATGGTTCTCACACTGTAGAATCCTGGGAGGCCCTCCTCTGCAGCCCAGATCCCAACGTCCAGCGCAACATTATCAGTCAAGCCCTTGCTGGTGCCGCGTCCCAAGGGATTCCGGCTGACAGCTAGGGGCGACGGGCCATGTCTGAGCAATTGACTGACTTTTTAATAAAGTTTTCTCTTTCTTATTATTCAGTGGCTCTTTAACATTAAGTTATGCACGTAGGCATTTCATTGTAGTTACAATTTGAAAGTGTGTTTATTCTGGTATATAATTACTTTACAGCTGTAGTTAGCTCAAAAGCATCAGCTTGAAAAAAAAATTCAGCTGTCCGGCTATAGGTAAATTTATTGCTATAAACAATGTGCCCACATCATGTTATGAAAAAAACAAACTCCCAAGCATTTCCCCGAGGGTGAACATGGTTAGGTGCGAATGCACAGGGTGATGCTATGAGGAGTATTTATTAATTCGCACTATTATATTGATTAATCACACTATGGTGCCTTTATGGTGTAATGGTTCCTGGAAATCGCAATTTGATCACACGGGGGAGTTTACGTTAACTCACTGGCGAATGCCAACGGATTGTAACTTTACTCCCCCTCATAGAACCACCCCGTGCATTCGCACTTAACCATGTTCACCCTCGGGGAAATGCTTGGGAGTTTTATTACTGATGATAATGGTTAAAGTGTAATTAGCGAATTTAAATGTTTGTCATGAAGCATTTGTACAGAGATACATTATATACGAAGTATTATTTATTTACACTTCACGATTTTCGTACGATGCATTAAATGCACACATCGCGAGCGCGTCACACACACACACACAAACTACACTACAGATTAGCACCTATTCGTGTTATCGTTGTAGCTCACGGTTAGTACCAGCGCTTTGCGGAGGAGTGAGCGATAGGGGAGGGGGACGCGCGCAGAGGCGTTAAAGATATAAGGCGCGTTACTGACACCGATATCAGCGTCACGTCCGTGGCTTATTCGGTAGAGCGTTGCGCTGCGGCCCACCAAGTCCTCTTTCTTTTAAAGATAGAGAGAAGACTGCGGACGCCGCCGACAGCGGTGGATGGTTTGGGGTCGCTTATAAAGTGTATTCACACCTAAAATGGGATTTCGGGGATTAACCTGGGCCCGAATACTTTTATTATTGAATGTCTTGTTTCAGATAATGAATGCCCGATATCACTTGATGTTGGCTGTAAGTCTTCCACACTAATATTAGTATAATTATGGCTTGCTATCTGAAACCAAATTCTCTTATCATTCGTATAATTGAGCTAGCGTCATGAATAAGCTCTATTGTACCACCACCTTTGGGGGGACAAAGCACAGTTGAAACGGGAAACGCTGCTTTGAGTAATGCTTGTTTTCATGCCTGACATTGTTTTTCATCACTGGTAAAATTAAGAGGTTGAAAATTATCCCTCGTTTGATTGCTACAGCCATTACTTGATTAGGTCAAACACATCGGCATATGAAAGACAGAGCCCATAAGCTTGAAAGTTTAAATCTCATCATAGCACCCTTCTGACACTTAATGTCATTCTCGCTACGCTCTAAAGTGCTGTCTTTTCGTTTCGTGAATTTAAACAGATCTTCTGCACAGTATGAATGTGCATGTATATGACTGCGTTAAGTTGAAAGTGTTTCAATTTATTGAGCTATTATTTGAATATCCGCATCGCCAATACTTCATTAGAGATATAGCCATTCTACAGCCGAATGGCGATAGAACTAGGAGAGCAAACCTTTACATATGAGACATTTCACCTAAAACTATGATCAGAGTCATCTTGACCGTCTTGACTTTTGCTTTTGGAATCACTCCCCGAGAGCTTGTTCTTCTCGTGTCGATATCCTTCCCCATGAGCTCCTGAAAAGTGCAAAGAAAACTATGCAGCTTGTATGTGCAGTACCATGACAATGGCAGCAGAAATCGGCTGTAATTGGCAAAGATTGCTTGGATTCACTGGAGATGACTCCAGCAAGGAAACGTTGTGAGAGTGACCCCAATTAAAAATAATATCCTGGGCAAAACCGTTACTATGGCCTGCATCTTACCAGAGCTATTCATAAACGTAGATAGTAGGGCCGGGTAAATATTGGTGGCTTTTAGGAATACTAAAGCAGCAGTAAAGATGCAGGCGGTTCTACCATGTACTGACTGATTTTCGCAAATGTATTTGAGGTAGATGTACATAAAATTAAGAGATAATTTATTCTTGCCGTTGGCTTTGCGAAACCCGCCCATTAGATCAAATCTTTATTCGATTATCTCACAGGAGGCAACCATCAGTGACATAAAAAGCAGCGTCTTGCATATATAAGGCAGTAAATACTCAACCCAGAAAAACGGTTGAAAATCCAAGTAGTTAATCTTAAAGGTAGAGAGGTATTGCCAAGGCTTCACTTAGACACTTTAGTAAATTAAGGAAATTGAGAGATTTAGTCACTGACCAATCAATGGATGAGAAAAATAAGCACACGATCCTCTGTTGGCTCACTGAAAGAAAGTTCACTGGAAGAAAAGTTATTACAATGTAACCACCAATAAATGCGAATGGCAGTAAGATCAAGAAAAGCAATAGAAACTTCCATTGTTGTCTGTAAATACAGCATTATATACACAAAGTATATTATAATATTTTTGTGTAACAAGAAGCATTCTTTGGGTCAGAAAGATGAAAACTCCAACAGGCTCCAAATTGGTTACGATCCCATCGACAGAAAAACGTTTTTTGACAGCTTTAATTTAAATGGCAATTTTACTTAAGCTAAAATTACTACACTACCTAGAATGGAAATTAACATCATCAATGTTTTACGTGACTTAATTGTCTAGTGTAATCTTTGCTTCTGTCTGACGAAGAAGCGAGCCACTTGGAGAGATTCTCCTTGGTGACATAAAATAATGCAGAAAGGGTTAGAATCACAAGCCGTCTAGCTCTACATTTTCGAGAGATTGTTTTGATGTTTTGGCACAGCCTCAACTAACTTGACTTACAGGTTGACTGAAATGATATTTCGTAACCACTACACGGATAGTGCTTGCCACACTTATTGTGTATGTACGGTGAAAAATGGAACCTGCATTCCCAGGTGCCTTTTATTTGCGGTCAAAATACCTCGTCCCCACGGAAGAGACAATTTTAATTTCTTGCAAGATAGTGAACGCATTATAAACGCTGGGTGGCATTTAATAGAGAGAATATCATCCTCCCCTTGCCTAAATTTTTAGGGTTCTGTACCTTTTAGTATTTTGCTGCGTTTCCATATGGTGTAGACAATAATGCTGTAGCAGGCGGCGATTAGAAAGGCCGGTATGAAGAAGAGAGAGCCAGCAACCAGGGTCATGTACACTTGCCACTGCCACAACTCGAGCTCAATCCAGCACTGGAGACGGCCGTGCACCATCGCCTCGCCGTTGAGGAAGATGGAGGGCAGCGACATGGCCACTGATGCTGCCCAGGCTAGAGCTACCAGCCAGCGCGCACGCCTCCCTGCGGGCAAGTTTTATAGCAAATGATGGTGCTGCGTTGTTGAATTACACTGGAAATAATATAGCTAATACATTACAGCTTCCATACTAATGTGCAATCATCATGGGAGTCGCTAAACGAAACACTTCTCGCCCCGATGTTCACCAGGTGGCCTAAACTTCAAAACATGGCTGCCGGTCTATACCCATATTATCACACTTCGAACTAGTGACGGATTTCAACAGTAAGCACGCGATACCTGCCGAAGGTACGTTAGAGTAGCGCAGTCTTCAAATTGCAAGTACTGCCATCCTTTCCCAATTACAGTGCGTTTTTGTTTTGCGCCGAAAGCTTGTATGACATCACATGAGCCGTAGGTGTCCGCCAGCACCGCCTATGTTTGTACCCACTATGGCGCAATATTAGGAAAAACTAAGTAATGTAGAAAAAAAAACACTAGACACAATGGGATTTGAATCCGGGTCGCCTGCATGCCAGAGGAGTATGCTACTACTGAGCTACGAGAGTGCTTGAAATTTTATTGCAAACTCACCCTAGGCAGACTTCGTGTTGGAATAAAAATCGCATTAGTGCATGTAATAAATTGTTTTACAGCAGTAAAGAAACAACCAGTAGTAACACAATGCGAATTGCGTAATTAATGGGTCGTTTGGTGGTCCCACCTTATAAAATTATGCTAGCTATTGTTGTCCATTGTCATCAACCACAGCATAAAGAATTCTACAAAACTTCTCGCAAGTATCTAGCGCGTACCACCTCTCTACGAAGAATGACAAAGAATATATAGTCAAGGGCTATCTACTACATTTTAATTATGATGACACAATGTGCAGTGCGCACCTTGCAAGTGGGCTTGGGCCGGTAACCCAAAGAGGGCTTACACGGGTCGGAACGAAGTGTAAGAATATTAGATGGTGTTTATCTGAACTCTATCGCCAGTGTAACGCTAGCGCCGACATTGACAGTGGCTCTAATCGCGGCGTTGCGACGGAGTAAGACCTGGGAGAAGCAAAGCATGCAGTGATAAACCGGTGTCTCCTACTGAAACATGCCAATCACAGCTAATGGCCAACAATTTACAGAAGGCTCCACTTGGACACAGCTACCCACAGCCTGTTTTTTTATTAAACCGCACGCTGCGAATTTTTATTCAACATTGCACCAGAGAAATCTCTCATCAGCACAGCACTACCATGCCCTACATTGCAGGTGAAGATCCAGTGCATATATATACGGAGTGGCCAGTGCACGGTTGTGTCGCACGAGCAGTCTGTTTTCAAGGAGATAGTCTTTCTTGGGGACCTTCAACGCAAAACCTTTGGTTTGTCTGTCTCTATGTCTGTCTGTCTGTCTGTCTGTCTGTCTGTCTGTCTGTCGGTACATTTGTCTGTTTGTTCACAGTTACCGCAAACGGGATACTTTAACCAGCACCAGCCGATACCCCGAACGGCCGACCTCATCCACTGTGACCACCAATGTTGCTCAAGGATCAGCATTCATACGTGTGCGATTGTCAATTAAAAAGCAATTATTGCACATACCTGAGGCACCATAACAACACGTATATATTCTGTATGTTCGTCTTTTACTAGAAAAGGCATGCGTAAGCTATACTAAGGAGCGTAGGGCTTATCACGCTGCGCTGATCATGCAACGCTTGCCTGGAAAAGCGAGTGTTTCCAACGCTTTGCTAAGAAGACACGGTGGTGGCCCTGGCTGGTCGCCTTGCGTTCTACCCCTTATCACCTCTGAGACGGGCACACGACCATCTCAGGACCACGCGCTTCGTTTCCAAAAAAAAAAACACTGCCAGATGGCACTCACTGTCTCATGTGTGACATGACTTGATGCGCTCGTTCGCCTCCACTGCACGCTCGAGGCACTCTAACGCAGCGCCTCCAAAATACCATTCACCGATTTCTTGCGAAGAACATCTGTCACAAACAAGCGCTCCGAAAAGGCGCGCGCCGCCAAATTAAAGCGACAGTAACAATACCAAGCGCAGAGAGGCGCCTCAAGGTCCGCGATAAAGAAGACAACAAATATCCAAAGGCTCCCCGGGCGCGCCGTCTCTCCTCCTCTTGGAAGCGTAGTTCGCCGACTAACCTCCTCACATCGGCGGCCGAGAAAGCCCTCGAATGCTCTCGAGGGAAAGGGTCTTGGTGATGCAGAGTGTCGTCATGTGTCGCGGACGGCCCTCGAAACGTCTCGCGATTTCCCCAGCCTTCACTGCGCATCGCGCCGACGAAAACGATGAGAATTTTTTTAAATGTAGCGCGAAGGGTATTAAACCGAGCAGCATAGATGGGAGATCAGGAGAAGAAGGAATTTTGCGCCAGTGTACGTAGGGTGTTCCGCCTTGTCGGCGAAGCCTTTTGTTCTCAGTGACAACGGATGAGAAGAAAGTTTGCGCCCGTGTGCGTAGGCCAAAGTTTTCCGCAAGTGTGCGTAGGGTCATTCCGCCGTATCGTATCGGCGAAGGTTTTGTCTTTAGCGACAAAGCAGGTAATCAAGAAGATTTCCACCTGAGAGGTGAAAACTCGTTGTACAAGCAGAAGAGTGGGCGACTACCGCCAGAGAGTGAAGACGCCACCGGCAATCGCAACGCGTGGGAAGCCGACGTGTTACCGGCGAAGTTGGAGAGCGGCCAATTGAAGACGCGAGGTTTCCTGGAAGAGAAACATCGGGGGCAGCGGAAGGACAACAGCGCTGGACTTTTAGTGAGTGATTCTCGGAAGAGTATTATTTAGTCTTTTGTTCCAAGAACTTTGGACTTAATAAGTTTTCGAACTCTTTATTCTTTAAGTGTCTTGGTTATTCGATGCATGCCATTGCAAGTGTGTATTGTTGTTTGTGTCCGTTGTTTCGAGTGTGGCTGATTGTACCATGTAGTACGTTGCTAGATTGGTGACATATCGTCTTCAACTATTGTCGAATGTGCATAATTGTGTAGCGTTTGGATCTGCCATAATTGAGAATATAATTTTGTTTTGCTTATCAACTTTCGGCTCTGACTTGTTCTTTGCACCACAGCCGGCGTCCGCTGGCACGTCAAATAGGACGCCTTAAGCTGCAAATATGTCAAATAGGACCACTTCTAAATTGTCAGCGCTTTCCTGGTGCAGTTCGGGGGGCCGATACTTCGGCCCTTGGAATTAACAAGGCGATCACCTCCCTAATTAACGGGACCTGGCAAAATTGAGTATGGCATATGAGTAAAAAACGAGAGTTGAACTTGAACTTGAACATTATTTCGCATCTATACATTGTACAGATAAGAGGGACACAGACAAAAAGCCACGTTACGGCTTGACGAGGTCTGTGCCCCTTTTCTTTCGCAACAAACAGTTGGCGGGCAAGATCAAAAATGCAATGCAAGAACAGATTCATGTACACACACGCACAGTAAAAAATAGAGATAATTTAAAACACTTGCATCCGAAAACAATGAACAATTTTATATACAAAGTTTGAAACGCGTCGCTATACACCTTCAACACAAAAATACACAAAAATAGATAGTAAACATATGAGCATAAGAAGTATTCACTAATGAATATACAAAAGTTCAAAAACGCTTCGCCTTGTATTTTTAACATAAAATGCATGTTCATTTAAAACACAATAGCGAATGAGATGTATGATCGGCACAACCAGATCCTTCGGGAAGGGAAATACGGCAGGTAATGAAGAGAGTTTAGCAAAGATGGTAAGGCATGACGTAGCATTTGTTTTCCATAATTTGTTCTACAATGTGGAACATGCCAGGTTTCTTTGTGACGTGTACTGAACGTGCTTGAATATAATGTGAGCCTTGACAATTGCTCTAGAAAACCCATGCTATTCTTTCTTTCTATTAAAAACCGTTTTTGCAAAACTGTATTGTACACTGCCTTTAATGGTATGATATTTAACTGGTCAAAAATAGGGTCCGTGTGTGCATCGAATGGAGCATTTAAAATCGTTCGAACAGCTTTCTTTTGCAAAAGGAATAAAATGCTGATGTTTGAGCTGGTTGTGTTGCCCCATACGAGATGACAATAATTGATATGTGATAGAAAATGCCCTAGAGAATGGTGTCCTAGAGAATGGTGTATTGTGCATCAGTTCGAACAACACATCATTTCTTTCTTTTTTTTTGCTTCCAGACTTGCATATTATCTTAAGATTTTTAACTATGGATAGGCTACTTACAGCTTCCGGAGAAATTCATAGGCCTGGTGATGGCGTCATACCAGTCGATACTGAGTGCCACCAGCACGTGTGTGGAAGAGTACGTAACCAGGACCTGTGTGTGGTAAAGAAACATTGGAGACTCTTCAGTCATAGCTTCAACTTATTGTAGTGTAGTGTATGCCATCACCACCAAAACGTGTAATATATATATATATATATATATATATATATATATATATATATATATATATATATATATATATATATATATATACCGTTGGGTCAGCTCGCTCGAACACTCAAGTAGCTGGTCGTGCTTGCTCTAGGGTTTTGGCCTAAGTTGTGTAGTGGCTGTGGTTTTCTTCGTCTTTATTAGGTGTTCCTATAGTGCTTTTACAGCTAAGTAACGGCATCTAAGTGCTACAAAGAGCACTTAGATGCCGTTTTCTTCACCTGGACCAGGGGCTTGCCTCTGGTCTGCTTCACTTCCGCCACAGGAAATACCAGTGGATCAGTTTCTTCGCAACGGCATTCCTGCAGTTCCTGTGGCCCTCGTCCCTAGCAATGACGGCTTCATTCGGATGAAGAATCCGAAAGTGGTCCAGGTGGAGCTTAGAGCTGCGACGTCTCACTTTCACAGCATCACAGAGGTCCGCCAGTTCGGCAGAGGTGGTATTCTATGTTTTTCATCTGATCAGCTCTGTCTCCAAGACCTATTGAAGTGCTCGAGTTTCGCGACCAATTCGGTGAGCGCCTTTATTCCCCCGCATCTGGCATGTGTGAAAGGTATTGTTCGCGGTGTCGATGTTAACTTGACCCCGTATGAGGTATTAGAGATGTTTGCCGTGACTGGTGCTATCTCTATAGGTGTGCTCGACTGGTAGAGAAGCAAAAGACGCCGACTGAGTCGGTAATTGTAACCTTTGCTGGAGCGAACCTCCCAAGCGAAATCAAGGCATGGCCACTAATATAGAGAGTGGAACCACTATCACCGCTCCACTCCAGTGTACGAAGTGCTGGCGATACGGTCACACTATTAAAGGATGCAGGTCAGGAATCAGATGCCGAGTGTGTGGTGACAACCACGAAACAAATCACTGAAAAATTAAAGAAGACAAATGTTGTCTCTGCAACGAACAACACTGTGCAGATAGTCCTGATTCCTCAACAAAGGCTCGAGAAATGCAAATTCTTGATATTATAGGGCGTAGGCGCTGTTCTCGACGAGAAGCCCTAGCGGAAAAACAGGCTAGAACTCAGGGGTATGCCAGTGTTGCAGCACGACATCTCTCGGAAATAAATGGGTTGATTTCCCTGAATATAGCGGAGGCCATAGAAAAGTCTCTAGAAAAAGCCATGGAACCACTGACTTCTAACCTTTGCAATTCTCTATCTCAAATTTTGGCTAACCAGATGACTCGCATATTTGGTACAACGGGAGAGTGAGGCCTAGTATCCCAACATGTTTAGAGTTCACGACCAATAGCTGACGGTGAATCTGAAACAGCGCCATCGTCGTATCCGCCTGCAGGAGCCTCTGCAATAGGTGTCCACTACCAAAATGAGGAATTTAAAACCGCACCATCGTATTCTCCGTCTGCAACACCCTCAGCCTGTGTCAAGGAAAAGTAACTCACCGAAAGAAACAAAGAACAAAAAGTATTTGAAAGAAAATGAGAGCCTTTATAAGAGAGATTTCTTGAAAGAAAGCATTCTAGAGAAAGCTATAGCGGAAGCAGCTGTTTCAAAACCATAGGGTCACTTAAGATTCTCCATTAGAATTGCCGATTAATTCATTCTGCATTTAAGGATTTGGTATACTTGACTTCTAAATTCGCTCCTGATATTATAGCAATACAAGAGACATGGCTATCTGTACAAAACTTGTTCCATTTAAATAACTTCCGATCTTTTCGACTAGACCGTCCATCGAGTGGTGGGGATCTAGCTTTCTTTATTAATAATAGAATTAGTATGAAAGTCAAATGCTCATACAAACATATGTCGCCAGAATGCGAAATTTCGGCAGTAGACAATACACTGCCCAACTGCACTCCTTTCACTTTAGTTAATATGTATTTTCCGGACGGAGTGCAAGACACACGAAGTTTGGATCTAGCTACAAAGTCGTGGTGCAATGACAAAGTTTTAGTTGGAGACTTTAATTCCCACCACACGAGTTGGGGTTTTAGAACTGATATGAGTGGGAAACGCTTGTGGGAGTGGAAAATGGCTAATGACCTAACGTGCCTCAACGTCAGAACCCCCACATTTATTCTTAATCACTCCAGGTCGGCCTTATATTTAAGTTTTGCAGTTCAGCAAATATTACTTCTTCCTGGAAAGCGCTGGACTGTGGCACCAACAGTGACCACTTACCGATAAGTTTTGAAATTTCTTGCCCGATAATTCCATCTTGTTCCAATGTAAGAGTATTTGTAAATTACACTAAATTTAAGAATGATCTGAAGTCAGCATTGGTTTTTCATTCGGAAGAGAGCGATGATACAAAAGCACTGAAGATAAACGCATTCATTAAAAGATCCTACAAAAGAGCCGAATTTACTGTTGAATCCACAAAAAGGGTATATAGCCGTTGGTGGAATGATGAATGTACAAGAGAGCACCGTCGACGTCAGGCAGCTTGGAAGTAGCTCTTACATAATCAATCCCCCCAAAACTGGGCCGATTATAAATTCATTGCTGTGGGCTGTAAGAGAACGGTAGCTCAAGCTAAACAAGATTATGACAGAAGACATTATGAATACCTGTCGAAGCCTAAACATATGAAAGCACTGTTCCGATATATGAGAGCTCGGAAAATCTTGCCATCACCAGTTAATGTAGCTTGTGATAATCTGTCGGCGCAAGAAATGACCACTACCTTAGAGACAATCGGTAAAGGTCTGGAAAGCAGATTCACTTCAGTAGTGCCAAACAACTGGCACAAGTCTACGACAAATTCTGACTTTGACGAAGTGACACAGACTGAAGTATCCAACGTGATTATACATTTACCCTGTGCGTCTCCTGGCCCAGATGGAATCACAGTACCCATGATTAAAATTCTGTTCAATTTATCGCCTCGAGACGTCGCCAGTGTTATTAACTACTCCTTAAAAAACTCTTGGGTGCCGCAGGATTGGAGGATAGCAAAGGTGATTCCTATGCTAAAAAATCCGGGTGTAGGATTAACAGTCGATAATATCAGACCAGTCTCTCTAACATCTAACATGGTCAAACTAGTAGAGAGGGTCCTAAATAGCCAAATAAGTATCTGAATGGCAGACAATTCAGTAATAAAACCGAACCAAATTGGCTTTCGTAGTGGTTTGTCTATTTGGTGTGCCCATGCTGATTTAGAGAGCCGAATACAGCTCGCGCGTAAAAAAAGGCAATACGCTGCTTTAGTAACGCTTGACATAGCCAAGGTGTATGACAGTGTGGAGCACTTCATTTTCTTAAATACGCGAGAGAGATTGAACTTCCCACAATATTTTATTGAGTGGGTGGCAGAATTCTTAAAATCAAGAAAATTCTACTGCGTCAAGGATGGATGTTTCTCATCTAGATATAAACAAACGCGCGGAGTTCCCCAAGAAGCAATCTTATCTCAAGTATTATTTATTGCTTTAATGAGCACAATTCCAACACATAAAGAAGTTACTGTCTACATTTATGCTGATGACATCGCACTCTTTGCTGCTGACTGTGGTATTTACTCACTACAACTTAAATTACAAAAATATATTAACATGTTAGAAAATTGGTTGCACTCGATTTCGTTGTCGGTAAATGTCAACAAAAGTTCGCTCATGGCGTTTCCGCTTGCATAACAAATTTCAATTTCAATTCTATATAAACTGGAACCCATTCAGCAAGTAGACTCTATAAAATATTTGGGAATCATTTATAATGACAAACTCAACTAGAGTCCACACATAGAGTATATAACAATCAAAGCACAGCGGGATTCAGGTTACTACACAAGCTAAGTAACCGGAAATATGGGTCACGGAGGCACACCTTGATAACGTTGTACAAGAATTATATGCGCCTCATCATAAAATTCAGCTGCATATTATTCTCGGGTGGCCCTGCTTATAAAACGAAACCTCTAGTTGTCTTAGAGCGAGAGGCACTGCGAATATGTCTGGGACTCCCTAGATTTATGCCTATCAACGTACTGTACCAGGAAGCGCGCCTGCCTACACTACTTTGTCGATTTCGAATTTGGACCGTACAAGCATTTTTAAAATTTTGTTGCTTACCGGCAAGAATATCTCAATATGCTTTTATTGCAAACCCAGACGCGTTCTTTCTTGCTTATTGGCCACGGTTTCACACACCTCAAAAAATGTTTGTACAAAAGAATCCACAAAGTATAAATATAAACATTAGAAATGTAAGTGAGACGAATGACTCGAATTGTCATGTTATTATTGAGTATGATGATATATTCCTCCAAAACGCCAAATTACAATCTCTCAAATTTTTAAATAACATATTAATAAATTACGTGGAGCATGCAGAAACTAAAAATATAATAGCCACAGGTGCTTCTGTAAAAATCCAAAAGGCAGGTGTAGGCATTGCCTCTGATTCGCATGACTGGTCCTTTTCAATGAGACTGCCTGATTTTACTCCAGTTTTTGAAGTGGAGCTCATGGCGATTATTTTAGCTCTTCGAAAACTTCCATCAAATCAAAACAACGCAGTCATAATGACGGATTCTCTTTCAGTTTGTGCAGCTCTGACAGCTTCAGAGAACTCTCGAATTCCAAGCACATTCAAAACATTAGTACCCCTGCAGTTGAGACTTCTGAGGTTACTATGGGTTCCGGGACACTGTGGATTAAGATTAAATGAATTGGCCGATTCCTTAGCACGAGCCGCACTTGATGGGCCAAATTTGTCCATACTGCCAGATGTTGAATATATCACGGCAATAAGATATCGAAAATCAGCAATCTGCACTGATACGATAGAAAAAGTAACTACAAGGACAGAATATAACCACCTCATGTTTCCGTGGCAACCCCACTGGGGCCAGTCCAGAAAGCTCGAAGTCTTAATTTTTAAATTTCGATGTCGTGTCCCCCCCCCCCTAAA